CCTTGTACAGTTTATGCTTTTTCCAAAGACCATGTTTCCCCAACATAAGTCATGTGATTATGTAGCATGTCTGGACACAGACTGGTGAGGGTTGTCGGGGAAAGTGACAAAACACTTGTTGCTTGCTGTAACATGCATCTTGTGCCTTGTTATATATATATATATATATATATATATATATATAATTGTTCTACATAATCACAACAGGGTCAGTGGTGGTTGCGATGAAGGTTCATTTCTAGATGTAGCGTTTGATGTATCATCTGTGTTGAGCTAGTATTCAGTGCCTTTATGATGCACTGGTAGACTGAGTCTCTGACTAAGAATTAATGGTATGTCTGGGTGATTTGACATAAAGAGCATATGGTTCTTTGTGTCTTGGAAATAATGACAAACTGGGGGGTTGCCAGGGTACAACCTAAAAGTTTCTTAGCTAATTATACCATTTCAGTTTTTACACAATATAATCAACAACTTATTATTCTGATCCAATATAGCTCTTCTTGTAGACATGGTTCCCTGTAATATGAAATGAGTCTGGAAAGTCTGGAATTACTTAGAAAGTCCATAATATTTTGAATGTAGGTAGCAGTGCTTTTGGGAAATGTGCTAGAGATGTTAAGTGATTGGGTAGGTCAACTTTAGGCGATGAGTAAACGTCCAGTTTGATCTGTCAGAGAGGACTGTAGAGATTCTTTCTAAATTGCAACTGGATAACCATGTCCAATCATTTGGTGTAGAGTGAGTAATGGTTAAAGCACTGACCCATGTGGCGAGGCTATGGGTGAGGTGTGTGAGCTTTTCCAGCTGAACTTAAGATCTGTTATCTTGGAAGGAAATAAGCTAGAAGAGCAATGACCTGGAAATGCACATCTTGGCCAGTTTAGATATTAACTGTTTGTGGTAAGGTCTCATGAAGTGCTATTTGTAAAAACTGTGATAAGTCTCCACACTCTCAGAAAAAAAAAAGTTAGAAAAGCTTTTACTGTTGCAGTTCCCCTTTAAATGGTACACCTTTGTATGCTATTTACTCCAAAAGAGTACATATTAGTACCTAAAATGCTCAAAACCCAAAATAATAGCATCTTTTGACTTAAAAATAAAGATGAAAATGATTATTTATTTTTGTTTGTTTCTAAGACAAATCTGAAAACAATCTTATCATCTTAAATTAGAATTCATTTTAAAACTAAACTTTCATCATTATACTACTACTACTAATAATAATTGTAGTAGTAGTAGTAGTTTTGCTATAGCATATCTGTTGGGAAAACAATTAAACACAATAAAATCATAACAGAATATATCCTGACAAGTAATGAAGGTGGACATTTCTTTATTTATTACAATTTATTTAGTTCACTACTTACACTGATGGCATTGTATTTAATTAGACGAAATTAAATAATTACAAAACAACAAAGTACATATCAAAGTGATTTATAGTGCCGCGTGAACCTATCTCAGAGTTCACTGAGTCACTTTCTAACCTTTTCAACATCCGGCTGCTCTCTCTTATCATCTATTCTAATCATCTATTCGCATAAATGGCTGCCCACTGCTCCAGGTGTGTGTTCACGGTGTGTGTGTGTTCACTGCTGTGTGTGTGCACTAAGGATGGGTTAAATGCAGAGCACTAATTCCTAGTATGGGTCACCATACTTGGCCACATGTCACTTCACTCACTATGCTGTAAGTAGTGCGGTCTCCCTCCGTGTGGAGATGCAACTGTCTGATGTGATCCACCAAATAACTGTTGAGATTAAATTAATACGGGAATAATTCGTGGCTTGTAATAAAGTGTTAATGTGGAAATAAATGTATGACTTTGAGAAAGTGTCTTGCCAGATTTAAGACTTTATCCGTTTATTCGTCTCTAGTAATTTTGCTGCTTATGATCACGTGATCGTGATTCATTATGAAAATTAAGGTAATTTGAGACCTGGGATTTAAACCTAATGGAAATTGTTTGCTTGTTTGTTTGTTTTTAGCAGGAGCCTCGATAATAGACGGTTCAAAAGTTAAACTTGATCCAAAATAAATTAATATACAATGATGTTATATTTGAGGCGAAAGTATTATTTGCTACAACATCATTACATATAAATTCCACTGCTATATTATCAATTCACTTAGCCTAAGTGCTCTGCACTTCTGAGCAAAGTGACGCTCTCTTATGAATGTAATTCTCTCCTATTTAGATGTAAATGTTCTGCGCTTGCATTGTGTGTGTGTGTGTGTGTGTGTCCTTGTTTAGTCGGGGCACCTGTGACGTGTATCCCAGTCACTTTCCCCGCACCTCCCTTTTGCTTGGTGTCCACTCACTTTTTCGGGTGGGCAGTGAGCCCCTCCTCTAAATGCCTGACGAAGCTATTTAGGGTGTAAAATGGATTTGAATTTGCTGTTAGCGTTCACATTTTGTGTCCGGACCACAGCAAGCGACATACGGTCCAGGGAGATTGATCAAATTGAGGAGAAGGAGAACACACTTTTTTCCCCTCCTGGTATAAGGACACGTATGAAGGTTTCATGTGGACTCACTGTGAACTGGGATTAAGTAACATTTATTTTCAGCTGGAATTATAACTTTCAGGAAAGGTACAGTATTTCATTAATTATTTTGTACTGTTCTCTGTATGTTATTGTTGTCAGTCAAAGCGTAGTGATTCAGTGATTAATTGCAATTTGTACGGATGCATAATATCATCATAATGTCATAATATGATTAACATGATTTACAAATAAATCAGAAAATATTTAAAAAATACTAGATGTGTTTTTAGCGATTGTTTTTCAGCCGTCGTCGTCTTATTATTATCATAATTTGTTTTCTGTTATTATTTTATAGTATTTTTACAATATGGAGAATCCTAAATAATATTCACTTTAACCTGAGTCGCATGGAAGTATTAAAAGTTCCCATGACCTCACTCAATACAGAAGTAGAATTATCCAAAGAGAACCAGTGAACTGATAAAGTAGTGCCAAAGACTCGTTAACAACCCTTCACATCTCTGATGCTGACTTTACATCATTGGGCGTGACTTTTAATAGACTCCAGCTCAGTTTAGGGAATCTAGGGCAAGACAGTTCTGAATATCTATCTGATATTCATATTATTATATGATATATATATATATATATATATATATATATATAATAATTGACTATTATACATTAACTGTAGACTGGGGAATCTAAATATTACAGAGTGATGATGAAGTTCGAATAGAAGTACAGGAGAGAAATACTAGAGTGCGCATTTGGACATTGGACATTTGTAGCGCGTGCGTGAATGAAAAGTGATGATGTGAGATCTCAGACGACTTCTTGGACGATAATAAGAATTCTAATGCATGAATGTGTCAGATTCTTTGGAAACGTTTCTAAGTATATACAGTTTAGGCTAGTAAGGATTATTTTAACGCCACGTTCGTATCCCTTCTTTTATCATTTTTTTGAATGAAAATATTTTTTTAGATATATTCCTGCAGTGTTCGTGCACTCACTGTAGCATTTGCCTCCATCTATTTTTGTCACAATTATTTCTGTCATTCCTACTCGGTTTTATGAGATTTCAGTAATGAAATAGTGGTCAAAAGTGTGATGACCTCATCACTGCACGTTTTCACCACTTCGATTTTTCCTTAAACATTTTGAGGCGGCAATTAAACTTAAAATAACACGTTTAAGGAGCAGACTTTTTCATACTGTATGAGGCACGGAATTAAAAATGGAAAACGTAACAAATGCATGAAATACTACGAAGAAAGAAACAAAGAAATCTTAATTTTCACGTAGGCCTACATGTCACGTACGTTTACCTGCCACAGTAGCGAAAGACCGCACATAAGTTTTAGGTTAGCCCACTACACTGACGTACACTTTTTATTCTCATATGGTCAGTGGGTAGTCTCGAGTCGTGAGCCCCAGTTTTGTAGTGTGGCGGTGGCAAAAGTTTGTGCCTCACCCCCCGCAGGGAATTATAGCAACTGAATACTCAATTCCGCCACCCACCCTCTGAGAGGAAACACTTTGTATGACCACCACATCGCCTCAGTCAGATGAGTAAAGCCGTTCAGCATACGTGAGTCTTAATAGCTAGCAAATGTGATTCAGCTCCGTATCCAGCTAGATTGAAACGACTTGTCAAATCAATAATTAAATTCTTCTTTTCACCTCCTAGACAGGAAGATGTTGCTAAATATAAAACACATATTGTGGCTGATCTGCATATACCAAACAACGACTGAACCTGGTAAGCTTTTTATTGATTTACTTATTGTAACAGCATCTATGTTAAAGTGTTGTCTGGTAATACATCTCTACATGTTCGAGATTTTCTGAATGTAAGGGTGTAAATTTGATTCGTTAGTCTAAGACTGGTGTTTGCATGAGTCTAAGCTACACATCCATGTGAATATATACATGTTTTTTTTTGTTCCGTGCTCTTTTTCTGATTTAATTTCATACAACAAAAATCAACTTATTTGTAAAATTAACTTCAATGCTTCTTCTAAACCGATCAAACTGTAATGAAGAAGACCTTAATCTCTCATTCCCACAATCTATTGTCCCCCAGCTGCCTCTAATGGTTTACTTCCAGGCACCTATACCTTTTAATTAGGATCTTGTAGTCTGGTGCAAACAGATGGCTTGACTTCATCACTCCGAGAGGCCATGCTCTCACACGGTGGTGTGCTACCCTCAGGGGTGATCCCACCTGTCCAAAGCATTTCTCACATTGTTGGTCTGAGTATATGGTGATTTTCTGTCAGTTATGATCCTTTCAACGTCCCCCCTTCAAGGTTATCTGTCCTTCTACAGGAAAGTAGTTTCTGGTTTGCTCACTCGTAGGCTTCACAGAGGCAGTAAAATAATTCTTAGCTCAGTTATCATAAACACAGTAAGGCATGATTTCCTGTGCTTTGCGGTGGATGCAGCTGTGTGTATAACATCTCATGCCTTTCATTCTCTCAGTCTCTAGCACGTTATTGGTGATGCGTCCTGTCAGCGGCTTGTTGTCTGGGAAAGTGACCCTTCCGTGTTACTTCTCCATCATCCCCACTGTTGGACCTAGAAACAGAAATGCCTCAGGAACAGATTACCTGCGCATCAAATGGACCAAAATTGAGGGCGGTGTTGAGTCGACTGTTCTTGTAACCCAAAACGGCGTCATTAAGATCGGTTCGGGGTACAGAAGCCGTGTATCTGTGCAGAGTCACCCGGAAGACATTGGGGATGCTTCTCTGACTATGGTGAAGCTCCGGGCCAGTGATGCTGGAACATACCGCTGTGAAGTGATGTTTGGGATTGAAGACACACAAGACACAGTCAGTTTGAATGTTGAGGGTGAGATTTTTTTAAACATATTATCTGTCTCCTATTCGCTCAAATTTGTCTCATCTTTTTAGAGATTGTTGTATCTGAAGCACATATGCTGCCAATATGGTAAATTCCTTAAAGCGAATTGATCAGTGACAGTCATAACCCAAGTAAATTATAGATAAATGAAAGTTCAGTCTGTTAAGTGGAACTGTTTGTGGGAGAAAACCCGCAAGCACAGATTATCTAAATTGTTGAGGGATTTTAAGGTTGTTTTGGACTCTCCCAGATTACAGTTACAGTGTAAAAAGTCAAATGCACTCCAATAAACTTTGCCTCTCTTAATGTATTCCCTCTGCTTGGATATACTCTGATGCCGGGACACATCTTGTATGGGCTGATTTATGCTCAGGCCATGTGAAAGGATGGGATGGGTCAACCCTGAACTGCTTTGGCTCTAGATTTGCAGCACCACCCTGCTCTCAGCAAAGACACACTGCCATTTTAATTAGATCCATTACTCATTTAATTTGAATTTGTTTCAGAGCGACAGTTATGGGGGTGGATGGAATGTCCCCTCATTCAAATGAATGTCCCAACACTGCTTGCTATATTAATTTGTTTATAAGCAAATTGCAGACATCATCAAGAATAAAGCTGTTTCTATTAGGCTTCATATTTATTGTGGTCACTGACAACAATGATAGTAATACAATATGCCCCCATTTAATGAAAATGTTAATGGATGGAATTGACTGTGTTACGACATGTTCATTTTTGTTTGTTTTATTTGCTCTTTTGAACAGGCGTGGTGTTTCACTACAGGTCAAAGGTCAGCAGATACATTCTGAACTATGCACAAGCTGTGCAGACCTGCAGCAACGTTGGAGCCACCATTGCTACAGCAGAACAGCTGAGAGCTGCTTATGAGGATGGATTTGACCAGTGTGATGCTGGTTGGATAGCAGATCAAACAGTGAGGTTAGAAGCAACACACACACACACACACACACACACACACACTCACAAACAGTCTGTATTTCTACATCCTCTACCGGCAAACTCAGTAATAAATTTTAAACAACATGTCAACATGTTGATATAAAAAGGAATTTGCAAAGGCTGTACTACTTATACTACTTTTTTAGTCATGAGAAACTTTTCTGTCTGATAGAAACTTTTCTATCTGTAGATATCCAATCACTAGACCAAGGCCCGGCTGCTTTGGAAATCTGCCTGGAAAACCTGGTGTCAGGTCTTATGGCAAACGCAAGCCCACAGAGACCTTTGACGTGTTCTGCTATGTGGATAAGATTGAGGGTATGGATTTTACTATTCACGTTACTTCTTACAACTTCACTCATCAAAAAAACAAAAAAAACACATTGACATGGCCAGCAGTTCTGTGGTAATGTGAAAGAGCAGTAGTTTATCTATTATATTTGCTCTATGCAGACATATTTAATATGGTTTTAAACTGCGGTTATGACCAAAAATGAGTATCAACCATTTGGCAGTGAACATCTGTGGTATTAAACATTGAAGTGGAAGCTTTCAATATTTTAGCTGCCACAAAAGACAAGTTAAAGTTTTTTTTTTTTTTTTAAGTAAATCTGTTTCTTTTCAATTCCAATTTCAATGTGAACTTTCAAATCTTGTTTTGATGTATGTACATTGGCTAATCAGAACATGACAGAAATCACAAAAGTGACACTTGTATTTAAAGTAGCATTTTCAGTTACTAATAATATTGAGAAGAAAATATTATAAGAAAATATTGATTGTAGAGAATTCTGTTTCTTAAAGGGGTCATCGGATACGAAATGCACTTTTACATGTTGTTTGAACATAAATGTGTGTTGGCAGTGTGTGTACACAACCACATAATAATAAAAATCCACCCAGTGTTTTTTTTAATCTACTAAAATCATTACCCCTTTCTCAAATCAAGCCGTTCTCAGCTTCTTGTCTGTGTGACGTCACACATACCCAGGCTCCCCCACGATAGTTGATTGACAGTAGCGTTTCAGCACAGACTGGACTGGTGTCTTACCTTAGATCCACCCTGAGTGAGCTGTCATCAGTCCGCCATTGTTTCGACGCCAGAGCAGATGTAGACAAGAATGGCTCCTAAGCAATTGGGGAGTACATTTGTTGGATTTAATAATAGATCTGATAACGTTCAGGCATACTCTTTGTTTAAATCTAGATTAAAGACACATCTTTTTACACAAGCATTCACACAATGTATCTCGTAACTTGGTACTTCAGCTATATCTGGTCAACATCTTTGCTTGGTTGGAATAGCAGCTATGCTAATTTCGTCACTATTTGCTTCTCTGTTTCTGTCACAGGACTTGCATCCCGAGGCAACTAGGAATTAGACAAGCTTCAGTCTGGATCCAACCCTTACAAAGACCTGAGAAGAGATGATGCAAACCCTCAGACAACATACAGAACTACCAAACTTTGCTATACACTTAATCGCGACATATAATCGTTGCAGTTAATAGTGTTCACCGTCTGTTTGATTGCATGTCATTAACTAACTGCTTGATTTTTACTGTACATTTCTACCATATCCACAACATTACTAAATATAATGTAGAAACTTACATTTTCTGTAAAGCTGCTTTGCAATGATTTGCATCATGAAAAGCGCAATACAAATACACTTGAATTGAATTTACTTTTCTTGAGCTATAACTTAATGCAAAATTAATGAATAATATTTTTGATTTGAATTCAAGCTTAAACTGGATTCGTCAGGTGAAGTTCTCATTCACGTAGGCTTCACAGAGGCAGTAAAATAATTCTTAGCTCAGTTATCATAAACACAGTAAGGCATGATTTCCTGTGCTTTGCGGTGGATGCAGCTGTGTGTATAACATCTCATGCCTTTCATTCTCTCAGTCTCTAGCACGTTATTGGTGATGCGTCCTGTCAGCGGCTTGTTGTCTGGGAAAGTGACCCTTCCGTGTTACTTCTCCATCATCCCCACTGTTGGACCTAGAAACAGAAATGCCTCAGGAACAGATTACCTGCGCATCAAATGGACCAAAATTGAGGAGGGTGTTGAGTCGACTGTTCTTGTCACCCAAAACGGCGTCATTAAGATCGGTTCAGGGTACAGGAGCCGTGTATCTGTGCAGAGTCATCCGGAAGACATTGGGGATGCTTCTCTGACTATGGTGAAGCTTCGGGCCAGTGATGCTGGAACATACCGCTGTGAAGTGATGTTTGGGATTGAAGACACACAAGACACAGTCAGTTTGAATGTTGAGGGTGAGATTTTTTTAAACATATTATCTGTCTCCTATTCGCTCAAATTTGTCTCATCTTTTTAGAGATTGTTGTATCTGAAGCACATATGCTGCCAATATGGTAAATTCCTTAAAGCGAATTGATCAGTGACAGTCATAACCCAAGTAAATTATAGATAAATGAAAGTTCAGTCTGTTAAGTGGAACTGTTTGTGGGAGAAAACCCGCAAGCACAGATTATCTAAATTGTTGAGGGATTTTAAGGTTGTTTTGGACTCTCCCAGATTACAGTTACAGTGTAAAAAGTCAAATGCACTCCAATAAACTTTGCCTCTCTTAATGTATTCCCTCTGCTTGGATATACTCTGATGCCGGGACACATCTTGTATGGGCTGATTTATGCTCAGGCCATGTGAAAGGATGGGATGGGTCAACCCTGAACTGCTTTGGCTCTAGATTTGCAGCACCACCCTGCTCTCAGCAAAGACACACTGCCATTTTAATTAGATCCATTACTCATTTAATTTGAATTTGTTTCAGAGCGACAGTTATGGGGGTGGATGGAATGTCCCCTCATTCAAATGAATGTCCCAACACTGCTTGCTATATTAATTTGTTTATAAGCAAATTGCAGACATCATCAAGAATAAAGCTGTTTCTATTAGGCTTCATATTTATTGTGGTCACTGACAACAATGATAGTAATACAATATGCCCCCATTTAATGAAAATGTTAATGGATGGAATTGACTGTGTTACGACATGTTCATTTTTGTTTGTTTTATTTGCTCTTTTGAACAGGCGTGGTGTTTCACTACAGGTCAAAGGTCAGCAGATACATTCTGAACTATGCACAAGCTGTGCAGACCTGCAGCAACGTTGGAGCCACCATTGCTACAGCAGAACAGCTGAGAGCTGCTTATGAGGATGGATTTGACCAGTGTGATGCTGGTTGGATAGCAGATCAAACAGTGAGGTTAGAAGCAACACACACACACACACACACACACACACACACTCACAAACAGTCTGTATTTCTACATCCTCTACCGGCAAACTCAGTAATAAATTTTAAACAACATGTCAACATGTTGATATAAAAAGGAATTTGCAAAGGCTGTACTACTTATACTACTTTTTTAGTCATGAGAAACTTTTCTGTCTGATAGAAACTTTTCTATCTGTAGATATCCAATCACTAGACCAAGGCCCGGCTGCTTTGGAAATCTGCCTGGAAAACCTGGTGTCAGGTCTTATGGCAAACGCAAGCCCACAGAGACCTTTGACGTGTTCTGCTATGTGGATAAGATTGAGGGTATGGATTTTACTATTCACGTTACTTCTTACAACTTCACTCATCAAAAAAACAAAAAAAACACATTGACATGGCCAGCAGTTCTGTGGTAATGTGAAAGAGCAGTAGTTTATCTATTATATTTGCTCTATGCAGACATATTTTTTTAAACTGTAAACTGCGGTTATGACCAAAAATGAGTATCAACCATTTGGCAGTGAACATCTGTGGTATTGAAGTGGAAAGTGGAAGCTTTCAATATTTTAGCTGCCACAAAAGACAAGTTAAAGTTTTTTTTTTTTTTTTAAGTAAATCTGTTTCTTTTCAATTCCAATTTCAATGTGAACTTTCAAATCTTGTTTTGATGTATGTACATTGGCTAATCAGAACATGACAGAAATCACAAAAGTGACACTTGTATTTAAAGTAGCATTTTCAGTTACTAATAATATTGAGAAGAAAATATTATAAGAAAATATTGATTGTAGAGAATTCTGTTTCTTAAAGGGGTCATCGGATACGAAATGCACTTTTACATGTTGTTTGAACATAAATGTGTGTTGGCAGTGTGTGTACACAACCACATAATAATAAAAATCCACCCAGTGTTTTTTTTAATCTACTAAAATCATTACCCCTTTCTCAAATCAAGCCGTTCTCAGCTTCTTGTCTGTGTGACGTCACACATACCCAGGCTCCCCCACGATAGTTGATTGACAGTAGCGTTTCAGCACAGACTGGACTGGTGTCTTACCTTAGATCCACCCTGAGTGAGCTGTCATCAGTCCGCCATTGTTTCGACGCCAGAGCAGATGTAGACAAGAATGGAGCTGGTTTAAGCTAGTTGCTTAGGACCAGCACATGACCTGCTAAGGACCAGCTTAAACCAGCTCAAACTAGCAGCCATGCTTCAAAACATACCTAACCAGCATATGCTGGTTTTTTTCAACAGGGAAGTAGGATACATTTCTTATCAGTTCTCCATTGTTTCACCGCCGGAGCAGATGTAGACAAGAATGGCTCCTAAGCGATTGAAGTGTTTTGTTGTTGGATGTAATAATGAACATAGCAGTTGTTATTTACTCCCGACATCTGATCCACTGAAGACACAGTGGATTACGTTTGATTTTGAAGGGAATGTGCCCCCGATCTACCTAAATGCGTCTATGTTCGCGCGAATCATTCGTGATCCAGCTTCACCTTCAGAAGAAGTGAGCATATGTTTTTTTTTAATGAATCTGCAAATCACCTTTCCTAATAACGTGCTAGTTAGCAAGTTTCACGATGAATGCAGCTAAAGTTTACAGTCTCTCAGAGAGCGGCTTGGAAGAGAGGGGCGGGGCAAGCAGAGCTCATTTGCATTTAAAGCGGCATGCAAGAAAACGTCTCAGGTTACTTATGTAACCATGGTTCCCTGAGTAGGGAACGAGACACTGCGTCCTCTAGG